TTTAGCTTTATTGGTTTGTTATCATACAGTGTTCCATTGCATCCTTACTTGCTGATATTATGGTTTTGTCACTTTTCAATTTTATTTGTTGTTCTTGGTCCAGCTTAAGATGAAAATTAGGAGTTTCAATTATCAATCCCTTTTTCATTTTATTAAATACTTATTTATTTTGAAAGAGAGAAAGGGAGAGAGATATTCTATCCATTGGTTCACTCCCCAGATGGCCACAATGGCCAGCACTAGACCAGGCCAAGACCAGGAACTTCAACCAGGTCTCCCATATGGGTGGCAGGAGTCCCAAACACATAGGCCATGTTCTACTGCTTTCCCAGGCCATTAGAAGGGAACTGGATTGCAAGCAGACCAACAGCGACATGAACTGGTGCCCATATAGGATACTGACATCCCAGGCAGCACCTTTACCTGCTATACAACAATGTCGCCCTGAGTCCCTTTTTTTCTAATATGGCATTTAAAGCTATAAATTCTCCTCTAAACCTTGCTTTAGCTGAATCCATAAACTATGATAAATCCTGTCTTATCACTTCCTTAAAAATATTTTCTAATTTACATTACAAATTCTTTTGATTATGGATTCCAAGCAATTAATTTTCTAGAAATATTTTGTTGTTGACAGCTTAATTACACTGTGATCAGGCAATAACCTATTAATAATTTCAATCTTTTGACAGCTGAGGTTAACTACATGGTTTTTTATAAAAGCTGCACATGTTGAACATTATGTATGTTCTAATAATGTTGGGGATTAATAAATAGATATGCTCAAATTTGTGCTGTTTAGAAACTCCCAAGTATTAAAACAGGAGTATCGAGAGTAGAATACTAGGATTATGGAGTCATTTACTTTCTTCCCTTATATAGTTTGAAGCTGTAGCTGCCCAGTGAATTAGGCTTCCTCAAATGAAATATGTCTGTCTCCAGGAATGCTTCTAATTAAGATGGTATCTTAATACATTATATACATTAAAGGGTAATACTTAATCTTTAAAACCTACTGAACTTTTAAGAGTAAAAATTTTTAAAGCCTAAGTAATCTGAGTATTTTTAAAGCCATACCATTCAAAGCTAGTATTTGAACCAAGATCTTAAAATTTTTTAAAAAATCTCATGTTACAAGTACAAATTATAGACATGGTATTATGAAGAGACAAAGTTTCCTTAACAGGTATATGGTGGTTAACAAAATAACAAAAACTTTATTGGCCAGGTTGTACCATTTGACAGTTAATATCTTGAGTATGCACTAATTCTTACTGTACTGAGTACGGGCTATGGATCAGCAGCATCAACATAGTGGGATGGCCAAAAAAATTTTTTTTAAAGCCAAGGCCGTAGTATAAAATGAAGCATAAAATGCTCAAAATAAAATAGCTGCTACAGGCCAATGTGTGGCAAAGTAGATTAAGCCACTACCTGTGACACCAGTGTCCCATATGAGCACTGGTCTGATGCAGCTCCCCACTAACACCTGGGAAAGCAGAAGACAGCCTAAGTGCTCAGGCCTCTGCTAACCACATGGGAGACCAGGACAGAATTCCTGGCTTTAGCATGGCCCAGCTCCGAATGGTGATTGCAGCCATTTGGGGAGTGAACCAGTCGAAGTGAGATCTATCTCTCTCTCCCCCTCTCTCTGCCTGCCTCCCTCCAACTCTTTCAAATAAATCAAAATACTCCATAATACCTAATGATAATCACCTTTTTTAAAAAAGTATCAGTATTTTATAATGGTCTTAACAGCGTTTCTTAGGCTACAAGTTTTAGCCATACTTAACAATTTTCTACACAGTAATCCTTCTGGATCCAAGGGTTCCACATCTTTTAAGTTCATGAACGTGTACAATTTTTTGTGTTTCCTAAATACAACTATTTACATTGTATTGTATTAGAAGCAGCCTAGAGATGATTTAAAGTAAATGGGAAGATGACTAAATTATATGCAAATACTACACCATTCTGTATTCAGACTTGAGAATTTGCAGATTCTAGTATTGGCTGGGGGTCCTACCCCAAGCCGCTACGGATACTGAAGGACAAACATTATTACAATGAAGATTTAGTTCTTTTCTACATTCCACAAGCTTACTATAACTCATTCTCATTTAAATCAATACTGTCTAGTCATATACATTATGACTGCATTACCTTACACAATATTTTATTTTCCCTGGAGCTATCAATCTAGCCTTCCTATAAAACTTAATTTCACTTTTCCAAATTCATCAGAATTGTCACAGATCAACATTTTCTCCTAGTCTACACTTCTTTGGGGCTTAAAGATCACTCAAAGGCTTTCCTAAGACCTGTGTGTCTTGTGGAGATGCCATAAGAGTCCTGGTTCATGCCCTAGTTTTGCTCTTTCAATCCAACTCCCTGCTAATGGCCTGGGAATAGTAGTGGAAGATGTCCCAAGTATCTGGGCCCCCACCACCCATATGAGAGACCTGGAAGAAACTCCTGGCTTCTGGCTTCAGCCTGGCCCATCCCTGGCCATTGTGGCCATCTAGGGAGTAAGGCAGCACATGGAAGGTCTTTTAAACCCTTTAGAAACAGGCTTTCCTCAACATTCTTTTATCTGAATTTCTCATTACAAGTACATATTATCAGTCATGAATTTCGAGGGCAGAGATATGGCTTTATAAACTGAGTGAAATGCCTTTCATACAGACATGTTAAAATGTTTTTGAGGCCAGTGCTGCGGCTCACTTGGCTATCCTCTGCCTGTGGCGCCAGCACCCTCAGTTCTAGTCCCAATTACGGCGCCAGATTCTGTCCCAATTGCTCCTCTTCCAGGCCAGCTCTCTGCTGTGGCCAGGGAGTGCAGTGGAGGATGGCCCAAGTGCTTGGGCCCTGCACCTGCATGGGAGACCAGGAGGAAGCACCTGGCTCCTGGCTTCAGATGCTGTAGCAGCCATTTGGGGGATGAACCAACAGAAGGAAGACCTTTCTCTCTGTCTCTAACTCTGCCTGTCAAAAACAAAAAAAAGTTTTTGAAATATTTAATATTAATACTCAACAGGCTGGCACCGCAGTTCACTTGGCTAATCCTCCGCCTGCGGCACCTGCACCCCGGGTTTTGGTCCCAGTTGGGGCGCCGGATTCTGTTCCGGTTGCTCCTCTTCCAGTCTGGCTCTCTGCTGTGGCCCAGGAAGGCAGTGGAAGATGGCCCAAGTACTTGGGCCCTGCGCCTGCATGGGGGACTGGGCATGGGGGTGCCTGGCTCCTGGCTTCGGATCTGCGCAGTGCGCTGGCCGTGGCAGCCACTTGGTGGGTGAACCAATGGAAAAAGGAGGACCTTTCTCTAACTCTGCCTGTCAAAAAAAAATACTTAATAAACATCAATAAATATTTAATAAATATTCACTCATTAAAAACGAAACTCTGGAAAGGCACCTAGAACTATTCTCTCCTTAACAAATAGTATGGGGTGGTGTCAGCATGGCAGGGTGGATTAAGCTGCTGCCTGCAATGCTGGCATCCAACATGAGTGCCAGTTCAAGTCCTAGCTGCTCCACTTCTGATCCAGTTCTCTGCTGATGTGCCTGGGAAGGCAGATGGTAGGCTGAGTGCTTGGGCCCCTGCCATTCATGTGGGAGACCTTGATGGAGTTCATGGATCCCAGCTTAAGCCCAGCCCAGGCTTGGCTAATGCAGCCATTTGGGGAGTAAACCAATGGATGAGCAATCATTTTCTCTGACTCTCCTCCCTCTCTCTCTACATTAACTCTGTTCATCAAATAAGTAAATCTTTAAAAAAATAAACAGTACTAAAGTCACTGTAGAACTACCAGAATTAGCCTTAGCAATTTTTGTCACAGCTATCTCATAAGCTTTTTCACATCAACAGCACAATAACACAGAGGTATACTAATGCAAATTATCCTACCTAGTAGACACATACAGTGCCTCTACATAATGGTTAAATTTAGAAAAAATCTATGTAAACATCTTATAACTTTAAATCCTTAGGTGTTCAAATATTCAAATATCTTACCATTTGCCATCCCAACAAAAAATCATGCTTATTTCTCTGTAGATATTGCCTGACTACAATCGGTCCTGCCCAGATTGAAGATGAATGATAAAAAGTTACCTGATCCTACTGTAACATTTTTACAAGCAGGTATGGGACAGGCATTTGACACAGTGGTTAGATGCTGCCAGGGATGCCTGTATCCCATTTAAGAGTGCCCAGGTTCAAGTCCCAACTCTGCTTCAGATTCTAGCTTTCTGCTAGAGGCAGCAGGTTTAAATACCTGGGCGACTCCAAATATGGAGTGGTAGATCTACAATGACTTCCTGGCTCCTGGCTTTGGACTGGCTCAGTCCCAGCCTTTACAGGCATTTGGTAAATGAACCAGCAGATGAAGAGTTCTTCTTTCAAATCAGTTACAATTATAGGTTTAAGACTCAGCTGAAGAACTAATGAAACGATACAAGATTACGAGACAGAATGAATGAGATGAAAGATAGTTCTTTGTATTTCTGTATTACTTCACTTCTTAATTAGAATACTCAAACATTTAAAGTTAGTTTTTAAGTTTTTATTAACTATCCATTACTTAAGTTGATTACATCAAATCAAATACAACTGTACACATCCACTACAATAAAACTATGATATGGGCACAAATAAAGATCTAAGGATCATACAATAATAGTTTCATACACTTCAAGGTATTAAGTAGCCAAAAAAAAAAAACAAAAAAAAAAACAATGGAAAAAATGGCTGAGGTGAAATACAGGGTTGATAATGTAAGCAGAGCAGAAAATTCAAGATGTACCGAGATACACCGGTTCTTAAAAGAGGCAAATGATTTCCAAAAAGGCATTGCTTATGCATTTCTGTTCAGGCAGAAGTCAATCTTAGGATGTAGTCTGTACATATCTGTAGATAAGACTGAGAGTTAAGTAAATAAATTTGATTAAGATTCAACACTTCTAAAAATGAACTGAGGGATAAACAAGCTAAGAAAGGCATACTTCACAAAAGCTGAATTCAAGGTAATTAGTCCTTCATTCAGATGCTTCATATTTGCATTTTCAATAGCTTTCCTGTTATATAAGTTATCATTATCTTGAATTTCTTCCCCATTTGTTTTGCATAGTTATGTCGCAGGTCATTTACTGGCTACAATATGACAAAATCATAATGAAAATAGTATTAAATTCCAATCTAGAAATAACAGTCCAAACGGATGTAACATTTTCCTAAGGTGAATTATTTACTACTATTGTCCTCTAAATCTTAACCATGTGTATCTTAAGCACAGCAAAACTATCCCATCATAAAGCAAAGCAACATGTGTTGGCTTACATTAGAACCTTCAACATAGTAACACACAAAGGTAGTTTTCTCAGTAGGGTGTTAAGCACAGAAACGAAGCAAAATAGTGTTTGTTTCCTCTGTTTAGACACATTCTTAAACCTGCTTGCCACAGCTGGAAAAAGCCGGGGGCAGAGATAATAAAAAGGAAAAAAATTTTTTTAAAAGATACCTAGTAAAACAAGTGTCCACATTAAAAAAAAAAAAAAACTTCCATCACAGCATCCAATACAGGTAAACTCAATACGGGCACAAGTTACTCGGATTTTTACGTTATCGCCGATGTTCAAGTTCCTACCTAAGACTGCTTATTCGAGCCGCTTGGCAGGATCCAGTTAATTGTTCGGGCAGCTGGTTTTTTTTTTTTGTTTTTTTTTTTTTTTTTTTTTTTTTCAGATAAAGGTAACTCCAACACCTCAAGAAATCTGGTAATGAATGAGATGCAAAAGCTGGAGGCGGGGACCAAGTTTTATCCATTCACTTGTAAAAACACTCCGGACAGGACCAAAGCTTTTACTTACCGGTCAGGGGAGGGGAAAAAAAAAAAAAAAAGAGGCCAGCGGGGCCGCCTCACCGGGCAGACCGACCGCCACGCGGGCCGCACAGGCACCCTGTTTCGCGGCGTCCCTCCTCCTGCCCCGGGCGAGTGCCCGCTCAGGCCGGGGCCCCGCCGCCGCCGCCGCCGCCGCCCGGCTCACCTGGCGCTCCGAGGACGCCGCCGAGAGCCCTCAGAGAAGCGCGCAGCGCCCGCGAAGCCCGCTCCCCACCACCATCGCCCCCGCGGGCTCCTACCTGCACGCCAACGTACCTAGAACCGGACCGCGGGGACCGCTGCTCCAGCCCAACCGCCGCCAACCGCCACCACAGAGCAAAATGACTGTCCCGCCAGGACCGGCTGAGGTAAATCTTCCTCCGCCCACTCCCGGCGGACTCTGGGCCAATGGCAGCGCGAACGCGCGGCAGCCCAGCCAATCAGAGTCGACCAGGGAGAGTGGGCGGGGAGGAGAGTCTCCTGAGGGAAGTGGAAGTTGGGCGAGGGCTCAAGCGTTCGCCCCTCCGTGCGCTTCTTCCCGTGAGCCCCTTGGGCTTGCCTCGCCAAATCTCGAACGCCCGCGCCTGAGTTGAGCCGTTATTTGATTCCTGTGAATATTTGTATAGTTTTTTAAAAAGTGGCTACTAAAACAGCTCTTCTCCGCAATTAGTAGTTTTCCTGTTCGAATTTTTTAAAGATAATGTGGATAATGTGTGGCAGTTTCACTTATTACCCAGTTTTTTTTAAGCCCCATAAGTTTTGCGATTCGAGATGGTAGTCCTAGTACTGTTTTCTTTTTCTTTTTTTTTTCCCCGTTACGGAAACTGGGAATCCCTAAATTGGCTGCATCACACATTTCGTGAAATCCGCTGCGAGACAGTCTTGGCGTTAACCCTGACTTCAGTAGGTGATCATTGAGTCTTCTCTGTGGGAAGTACAAGAAATAAGTCCCTCAACTGGATTGAAAAAGCCCTCTTCATCGAAAAGTGGAACTTCCTGCCTTGTGGTCACTGCTGGTTACAAAAAAGAGGCAAGGACAGGCCTTCTAGAAGGTTAGGTCCAACCTACTCCAAGCCCCAATATGGTCCGAGATTCTAGGGATCACAAAGGTTGACGGTATTCTCTATAATAACATGAACAATGTTACACGCTTCTTTGATTCAGAGTCAGTAGTAGTCCATGGAATTTTCCAGAAGCTTCTGGAAAAATGAAGTATGAGATTGCAACAAGATTGATTACAGAAGCAGATGAGAGAATCCAGTGGTTGTAAGTCAGACATTAGGGAAATTGGCAAAAATGTGAACTAGTGCCATTATTTGCACACCCTTTTTGTTTTGGAGACTAATTTTGAATAGAGTTTGAGGGTGTATGTAGGATTGTTTAGAAAGAGATGGTAGGGCCGTTGCTATGGCACAGTAGGTTAATCCTCCACCTGTGGCACCGGCATCCCATACGGGCACCATTTCTGATCCCAGTTGCTCCTCTTCCGATCCAGCTTTCTGCTATGGCCTGAGAAAGCAATAGAAGGTGGCCAAAGTCCTTGGGCCCCTGCACCCACGTGGGAGACCGGGAAGAAGCTCCTGGCTCCTGGCTTAAGATTGGCTCAGCTCCAGCTGTTGAGGCCACTTGGGGAGTGAGGCAGCTGATGGAAGATCTTTCTTTCTGTCTCTCCCTCTCACTGTCTGTAACTCTACTTCAAATAAATAAATAAAATCTTAAAAGAAAAAGAAAGAGAGGGTGTGGGAGTAGATGGGAGATGGGTAATCTGCAGCCAGATAAGACATTTGGGTTTAACAGTCCAAAGTCAGCAGTCAGCAGTGAGTAGCCTTTAGAAACTGTGAATGTCGAATCCACACAGGTCTGCAATATCTCCCCCACTCTTTCCCGGCATCAGGAAAACAAAACACAGAGGCGCCGTGCACCTGGAGAGCCTCACCGTTCCCACAGTTTGTCTCAGCTGCAAATCAGGGAAACATCCTGTACCTCCTGGTCCCTATCACTGCCCCAGCTATGAATCAGGCAGCCCCAGGACTCCCTGTGTCAAGGACACGCTGTCTCACGGTATCTGGTATCCTCTCCAGCTGCTCCAGCCTGCAGCCCATATCCCTTTGGTCAGCCGCTCCAACCCATCTCCCACCTAGCTCCCTTCTCCCTTGACACAAGTTCCCTATAAAGCCCCAGCCCTACTCATGAGCCCCAGCTCCTCTCTCCCTGAGGCTGCTCCCCACAGTTTTTCACCCTAATAAAACAATTTGCTCAGCGTGCTCTTGGTTGTCATTCTCCTCGTGGTTGAAAACCCTAACAAAACCATTGTCTATTTAGGGTAATGGGATGCCCATGTGTCACTTTAACTATAATTTACCTTAACAGGCCATTATGCAGTTTATTGCATGAATTACATTCATTTATATGCTTCAAGTTGAACAATCTGTATTCAAAGTCATACAGGTTACTGTTCAGCCATTGGTCTTGGACAGGTTAGGTCACCTTTCAGAATCAGAAGGATTTTATCTCTAAAATGGAAGTCACATGAGCAAGAATAAATGATTTACTGAATTCTGAATTGTCTTAGGCACCACACTAAGCACATACCCCTGTAATTTAATTATTGTAACATGAAGTACTATGAAGTCTAAAGTTGCTATTTGATTTTTTTATTTATTTACTTATTTGAAAGAGTTATAGCAAGAGAGACAGAGAAAGAGATCTTCCATCTGCTGGTTCACTCCCCAGATGGCCACAACATCCAGGGCTGAGCCAGGCTGAAGCCAGGAGCAAGGAGCTTCATGAGTTCTCCCACGGAGTGACAGGAGCACAAACATTTGGACTGTCTTCTACGGCTTTACCCAGGCCATTTGCAGAGAGCTAGATCAGATGTGGAACAGCCAGGGTTTAAACCAGTGCCCATATGGGATGATGGCATCAAGTTATCAGTTGTACCTGCTATTTGATTTTTTTAAAAAGAAATACAAGAGATAACAGATGTCAAGATTTTTGTACATTTCTTGGCTTATTATAGACACTTGATGTATGATAATTCTTATTAGAATTTATGAAGCGGAGAACATGAATGATCTTGAAAACTCTTTTAGCTTCTGGTGTCAGAATGTTTATTTTTTCCCCTCCAATGAGGATCATGGTTGCAGAATTTGGACCATCATGATTTTCCTCCTCTGGTATTCCCTTTCTGGTTATGTTATATTACATGGCAAAAGGGATTTTGCAAATATCATTAAAGTTAGTAATCAACTGGCCCTTAAAATAGAGCAAAGAGCCTAGATTTTCCAGGTGAGGACAATATAATCCTATGAACCTCTTTTCCTAAAAGGAAAAGTCAGTTAGATGCAGGACAAAGGAAATTCATGGAGATTCAAAGCATGAGAAGGACTCACCCATGGGTGCTGCCTTGACGATGGAAGGGACCACATAGAAATCATGATGAGGCAAGTAATTCTGCCAATAGTGTGAATCTAGAAGAAAATTCTTCCCCAGAGCTTTGCCTGGCCAACTTTGATTTCAGCCTTTTAAGACCCAAAGCAAGGTTCCAGCCGTATCCACTATCCTTTTGACTTACAGAACCAGGAGATAATAAGCAGGTGTTGTTTGAAGCCACTGAATTTGTGTTAATTTATTAAGGCGACGACAGAAAAATAATACATTTATTACCATACCCTTTTTGGCTTTCCCCAGGGCACGGCTGAAACTGCATTTCCCAGATGTCTCTGTCGCCAGTATTTTTGAGTCTTTTAAGTTTTACCAAGTGGGTGTCACTTCCTGTGATTTGGAAAGTGAAAGAAAGATAGGCTTTATCAGTCCTTGCCTTAGTGATAGAACACAGCTCTGACAATTGACAGTAGTTTTCTCATTTTTTCTGGCCTCCAAGCAGCAACAGCAGCAAATCCTACCCCCCCCCCCCCTTTTTGACAGGTAGAGTTATAGACAGAGAGAAAGACAAAGGTCTTCTTCCGTTGGTTCACTCCTCAAGTGGCTGCTAGGAGCCAGGTGCTTCTTCCTGGTCTCCCATGCAGGTGCAGGGCCCAAGCAATTGGGCCATCCTCCACTGCCTTCCCGGGCCACAGCAGAGAGCTGGACTGGAAGAGGAGTAGCAGTCACCACAGGTGGAGGATTAACCAAGTGAGCCACAGCACAGGCCCAGCAAATTCCTTATTCTTTGCCTCACAGACACAGCGGTACAACTGAAAGCCAATGTAACGGTAACTCCTAGAACCCTGCTGAAAGTTTATAAGTGTCCAATTCTCTGTAATGAATTCATGATGCTTAAAATATGTGAAGTTATTTCCTTTCTCGCTGCGCCACAGCTCAATAGGCTAATCCTCCGCCTGTGGCACCAGCACACTGGGTTCTAGTCCTGGTCGGGGCACCGGATTCTGCGTCGGTTGCTCCTCTTCCAGTCCACCTCTCTGCTATGGCTCGGGAGTGCAGTGGAGGATGGCCCAAGTGCTTGGGCCCTGCACCCCATGGGAGACCAGGATAAGTACCTGGCTCCTGCTTCGGATCTGCGCGGTGTGCCAGCCGCAGCACGCCAGCCGCGGCGGCCATTGGAGGGTGAACCAACGGCAAAGGAAGACCTTTCTCCCTGTCCCTCTCTCTCACTGTCCACTCTGCCTGTCAAAAAAAAAAAATGTGAAGTTGTTTCTTTTCTCATGATTGAGCCTTGACTGACAGATTTCCTCAAACCCCAATTTCCTTATTTATAAGTGAAATAACAAATCATGCATGACTCTGAGTACAAAGTAACCCCTTAGAATTATCGCATGGATTCAAATACATGAGCTAAATCCTTGTAAAATATTCAGTAGGGAACTACCAGTAGTAGTTGCTCAATACATAGTTGTTACTATATTTTTTACTATGAAAAGCAATTTTGGGGCTAGATGATTTATGTCAGTTTTTATTGGCTTACCATTCTCATTTTTAGCTTCTTTATTTCCAGCTTCTTCAGAAAATACTCTAATATTTCAAGACTTTGTGTTTGTTGGTTAATGTCCCCTCAGTCTTAAATCAGATTTCTCCACCTTGACCCTCAGCATAATGCTTATTATGATGTTAGAATAGGCCAATAGCTACATATGAGCAGAGCTCAGCTGTCCTCGTAAGTCCCAAGGACTTTGCATATCATAACAAATCAGAAACTACAGGGTTGGCAAATGTCTCAGAAAAGGCAATGGCCAGGGCCGGGGCTGTGATGTAATAGTCTGAGCCTCTGCCTGCAGCGGCATCCGATATAGGCACCGGCTTGTATCCCGGCTGTACCTCTTCTGATCCAGCTCTCTGCGTATAGCTTGGGAAAGTAGTGGAAGATGGCTTTAGTGCTTGGGCCTCTGCACCTACGTGGAAGACCCTGAAGAAGCTCCTGGCTTCTGCCTTCACATTGGCTCAGGTCCAGCTGTTGTGTCCATTTGGGGAGTATACCAGCAGCTGGAAGACCCCCTCTCTCTCTGCCTCTCCCTCTCTCTATAACTCTGCCTCTCAAATTGTTAGACCGGACTCGGATCAGACTCAATTAACCCAACAAGAGACTTGGTGATGCAAAAGCAAAGAGGTTTATTGTTCTAGCTTGGGCTAGGGTCCATGCTTCCAAATGTCGCAGCGGTCTTCTGATGAGGACCCCTCCTGTTTCTTTCTTTTTTTTTCTTTCTTTTTTTTTTTTTTTTTTTTGACAGGCAGAGTGGACAGAGAGAGAGACAGAGAGAAAGGTCTTCCTTTGCCGTTGGTTCACCCTCCAATGGCCGCCGCACCAAGCTGATCCGAAGGCAGGAGTCAGGTGCTTCTCCTGGTGTCCCATGTGGGTGCAGGGCCCAAGGACCTGGGCCATTCTCCACTGCACTCCCTGGCTACAGCAGAGAGCTGGACTGGAAGAGGGGCAACTGGGACAGAATCTGGTGTCCTGACTGGGACTAGAACCCAGTGTGCTGGCGCCACAGGCGGAAGATTAGCCTATTGAGCCACGGCGCCGGCCTCTCCTGTTTCCTTTGCGGGGTTTATATAGGGTTTTCCGAGACAGTCCATACATTATAGCACCATGCAGCAAATCATCTCATTCCACGGGAAATTCAAAGAACATCTCTTAAAATTGATTAGTGCATTCAGTGGCGGGAACGGACCTAGTAAAGGGGGTTGGATGGCTTTGGGGTTGATGCTTTTTAAAATGATTGGCTAAAGTATAGGGTCTGAGCCGCTAGGGTGTAGGCGCCAAACTGCAGGGTTTCGGGATGTTATCAATCACCTTAACTGCCTGAGAAGACACCTGGAACTTTAGGTATTTCCCTGCTATCTGCTGATTGGCTGTTGCTAGGGGAGTTTATTTTTTTTTTTCAGGAGCTTTTGGCTTAGGGTTCAGGGCCTGGTCAGGCCCAAGTTACAAGATGGAGGCCTAGTCTAAAATAGCTGTGCCTTGAACCAGGCTCAAGTTCTTCAAAATAATTAAATCTTAAAAATAAAACATATTGTCAACCATATCCTCACGTTAACTAATACTAGACTTATTTTCATTAATATTGCAGTTACAGTCATGATCCATCTCCAAAATCGCCATGACAGACCTGAAAGAAATAGCAAAGAAAACAGGTAATGCCCTTATTCTAGGAAAAAAAAAAAAAAAAAGAAAACCACCGTATTCCTAGAAGTCTCCTCCCTATCTTGTGAATTTTTCTGCCCATCATAGCAAGATAGAAATAATAAAAGAGAAACTTCCTCAGCCCCCTAGGCAGACATTCTCCGGCCCCTCCAGAGAGTGTATTTGTTTTACAAAAAACTTTCTTGTTTGCTCAATTCAACCTCCATTCATTCTGGAATTCTTTCCTGTGATGTCAAAGACTGGACCCACTTTCTGGTCATGTTGTTGTCTGTGTTGTCTGTGTTCTCATTCGTTTCTTCCCACTGCTGGTGAGCAGCTTCAGAGCAGAGACTCATCTTTTAGATGAGAAATAATATGGGTAAAGCAATTTAAAGGGTGTCAGATCCGTAGTAAGTGTTTAATAAAAGTTACCACACCTAATTTTAGTTATATACCCATTTCTGTTATCTGACACATAATAGAAACTCAGTAAAATAAGTTCTTTTTTTTTTTTTTTTTTTTTTTTTTGACAGGCAGAGTGGACAGTGAGAGAGAGAGACAGAGAGAAAGGTCTTCCTTTACTGTTGGTTCACCCTCCAATGGCCGCCGCAGCCAGTGCGCTGCGGCCGGCGCACCGCGCTGATCCGATGGCAGGAGCCAGGTGCTTCTCCTGGTCTCCCATGGGGTGCAGGGCCCCAAGTACTTGGGCCATCCTCCACTGCACTCCCTGGCCACAGCAGAGAGCTGGCCTGGAAGAGGGGCAACCGGGACAGAATCCGGCGCCCTGACCGGGACTAGAACCTGGTGTACCGGCGCCGCAAGGCGGAGGATTAGCCTAGTGAGCCACGGCGCCGGCCTAAAATAAGTTCTTAAAAGTGGATGGACAAATGTATTGTTTTTCAACATATATTTATTGTATAATTTCCACAAAGATACATCAAAGTAAAACAGTTGAATATTATTTAAGGGGAAATTACAGACAAAGTATAATTGTTGATTATGCATGCAAACACTAAATTATGGTGTAGAAATACTATTAACTTTAATATATATTGTTAAAGTATGAGGGTACTTCAAAAAAGTTTATGACAATGCAGATTAGGAAACAATTATGCACATATTTTTCATTTTTTACACTGAAACATCTTTCAATTCAATTTTAATGAATTTTTGACACCTTTATCTGATTATTGTGATATTAAATTTTATATATTGATTTGGCAAGACTATAGTGCTCCAAACATACATTCTAGATATTGCTGTGAATGTATTTTGTAGATGTGATTAACATCTAAAATCAATTGACTTTAAGGAGATTACTCTTATAATGAAGATGAGTCTCATCCATTTAGTTTAAAGCCTTTAGAGCAAACACAGCTTTCCTGAGAAGGACGTTTGTCCCAAGACCGTAACACAGAAGTCCTGCCTGATTTCTGGCTTGCTTACCTGCCCAGCAGCTTTCAGAAAATAAACCTCTTCATTTGTGTGTGTGTGTGTATGTGTGTAATCTCTCTCTATATATACTATGTATGTATGCAATATATGTATATAAAGATACTATGTGTACTATATAGGTGGTCCCCCACTTAAAATAGTTCACCTTATGATTTTTCCACTTTGTAATGGTGCAAAAGTGACGTGCATTCAGTAGAAACAGTACTTTGAAGTCTGATTTTTTCCCAGGCTAGCAATGTGGGGGATGATACTGTCTCTGATGCTGGGCAGTAGCAGTGAGCTACTGCTCCCAGCCAGTCACATGATCTTAAGAGGAGACAATCAGTATACTACAGTGGACTGTTACTAAGCGATGATACAGAGTAGTTTAGGTGTTTATTTGTTAGGTGGTTCAAAATCTCAGCTCTTATTTTAAATTTGTTTTTATTAATTTTAATCTTATTTGAAAGGCAGAGAGACAAAGAGAGCTCTTCCATCCACTGGTTCACATCTCAAATGCCTGCAACAACTAGGGCTGGGCGAGGACAAAGTGAGGAGCCAAGAATCAACCTGAGTCTCCCATGTGGGCAGCAGGGACCCAAGTCATTGACCCATCATTTGTTATTTCCCAGTGTACACATTGGCAGGAAGCTGGTTGAAAGCAAAGTAGCTGGGACTTAAGCTGGACACTCTGGTATAGCATGTAGCCATCCTCAGTGGTGACTTAATCGCTATGGCAAACACCTGCCCCAGGTTAGGTATTTTAAATGCATTTTCAACCTAGATATTTTTTACTTAGGATGGGTCTATCAGGATGTAACCCCATCAAAAATCAAAGAAATGTTCTATGTACAATAATTTATATAATATTCTATTGGTTTTGTTTTCTGGGAAAACTTAACTGACACAGTTAAAAAGTGTCCAACAAAGAGAAACTAGAACTTCAATAAATTTACTCACTGCTGGTCTGAGCTCTTACACTTAATAGATCCAGAATCTTGATCTCAGGAACATAGGCAGTTAAGATAATGCTTAATGTCGTTTGATATTGTACCAAGCAGAATGGTACCTAGCTATCAGAATTGCTTGTTATAAACTGATGAGCAGTATCTCCAACAGAAAGGACATGTTTGAGAAGTGTAAAAGGTTCCCAGAGAGATATAAAAGTTTGGTAAGGACTTCTATGACCTACGGGACGCAAGTGATCAGGGCTGACCACCTGTTTTGATACATACAATTCTACTGCAACAAAGCTGTATGCATATTAGTGTTTTCCATTTCTACAGCAAAATCCAAGAGGCTGAGTAGTTTATAAAACAATCTATTTACCTTGCAGTTTGAGGGGCTAACAGTCCAAACAGCCCAAACAGTGTGGTGCCAGCTCTGTCAAAACACCCCTCACCCTGCCCCTGACTGTGACTCATCAGGGTGGAGTGGAGTGCATGTGAAAGGAAGAGATCAGAAGGCCAGACAGGAAGCCAGGAGACTGGGAAGAGGCCAGTCTTGCTCTTCTGTAAAAAGCGTCCCTGAAAACTGCGGTCCTATGAGAACCACATCAATTCCTTCTAAAGGCAGTGCCTTTGGTGACCTAATTACTTCCTCCTAGGCACCACCTCTTCAAGGTTCTACACCACCTCCCAACAATGACACGCTGGGGACCAACCTCCCAACCCATGCACTCTTGGGGACACCCTCAAGCCATATCAAAACCATAGCCGGAGTTACGCTCATTCATGTATGAACCATGGATGGCCACTTTTGTGAGACAGTGGCAGAGGCCATAGGCTCCATAAAGCTTTTTAAGAAAAAGTGGGTCTGTTGCCAGCACCTACGGTCACACAGCTTGACAGGGCTTAAGGGCAACGCGTCGGAGTACAGGGAAGAAGGAACACACGGACACACGACTGTCTTTCCAATGAAAGGTTTTGATTCCTCATACCAATTCACACTAGGGCTTCACTACTCTGCATACCAATCTATACAGTTACATTCATTAATCCACAGATCTTAACACACACCTAGCATCGAAGCAGTCTCAAAGGCAATCCAATAATAGTAATCTAAGTACAGCAAAGCATATGGCATTATTCTTAATCGTAGGGTCGAGGTACATTTCTTCATATTACACATGGCTAATATTATAAATGCTGCATTCTCAAGGTTCCTATCACGGTCATGAAAAGTCAAAGTCCAACGTCCAGAGTCTGAAGTCTCCGTTACCACCTGGAGAGACGGATCTCAGAACAGTCACTTGCAGGCAGGAAGTCACTCTGGGCAGCAGGCTCGAAGTTCCCAGGCTGACTTCGAGGTGAGGAGCTGGAGAGGTCCCCTGCTGAGAGGTCTGGTCCAGCTCTGCCGTTGGGTCTGGCAGCAGGCTGATGAGAGGTGTCGAGGCATTGGCTCTGATGGAGTTTGTTCCCTAGTCGCCTTGTGCTGTTACAGAGCAACAGGCTGGCTTTTCAGCTCTAGACATGTGGAGATCCAGAGGTTCACCCTGAGGGGATGGGGAGCAGTGAAAAGAGCTCTCCTTTCATCCTTGCCACTCCAGGGAAAAAGGCCCCTGGTGGGGGTCCGGGTGTCAATCAGCCGCGTCCTGGAATTTCCCAGGCGCCACCAGTCTGCTGTCTAGGACAGGGAGTATGAGCTCTGTCCGGTGCTCTCAATCGCCATGCTATTATCGGGAGGACTTGAAATTAGCGTCCTTAGGACACAAGTCCAGAGGCATCTGTTCAGTCTGAGATGTTTTTCTTGGCAGACACTAAACTTAGCACACGTGGTGTCATCAGCTCCTACCTTAGCATAAGTAACTCCATTCTTATTGTAGTTTATTTGTGGTTAGCGGTGCTCTGTAACTCATTTAGGACTACCATGAATTTCTCCATGGTCCACCTCCTATTAGTTGTGCGGTAAGCGGTGATCCATGACTCGTCTTTGGGACTCCTGTGGGATTCCCCACAGGGTCAACCCCTGCAGAGATCTTGGTAGGCCAATGCTTCTATTGACAATGCCTAGAGAAAAAAATCACAAAGTTATTAGAGAGGGATGGAAGCAATGAAGACCAAACATCTAAAGAGAAGGAAAAATGTTCCCTGAAATCAACTGACGATTTGGGAAATGGGTCAAGGAACAGAGGGCCACTGTTAGGGGAAAGAGAAACAACAAGTCTTAGCAGTCGTGTGGAACTGAAGTGACAAAGTTGGACACTTCAAAGAGTCTCAAATTGACAGATGGGTTTCTTCTCCAAACAGTTGTCAAATTCTGGCACACAACCAAAAGTTACAAGTCATAAAGAAAACAAGATGATTAAAGAGATAATCAATAGAAAACAGCTCAGGGGAAGCAGGGCAACATATAAAATAGATATTTGGATTGAAGATAAGGACTTTAATGACACTGTACCCTATGAACATGTAGTTATTACAAACAAATTAAAAAATAAAAACGCTTTGGTATGATTTATAGGCTAATGGAAGTACGGAGAAAATGACAAATAGCATAGATAAAATAATAGAGAATATCACCATAGAAGTTGAATCTGTTAAACATATGTACATTATAGCAATAACAAATATTACAGTGGACATTAAGAACTCAATGGATGTGTTTAACTACAGAATGGACACAGCAAAAGATAGGATTGATAGGCTAAGAGACAGATTCTTAGGAAATATCCAAAATGAAACACACAGAGGAAAATATAATTTAGAAAAGAACATAAAAGGGTAAGAAACCTGAGCCTGGATCAAGGCGCAGCTATTTTAGACTAGGCCTCCATCTTGTAACTCGGGCCTGACCAGGCCCTGAACCCTAAGCCAAAAGCACTTGAAAAAAATAAAATTGAAGAACCTTAAAATCAAACCAAGATGGAGTGACTTAAGCTAACACTATTAAAAACAAGAAGTCACCTTTGCCCCAAATAAAATTAAAGTTTAAAAATTACAGCCCTAAACTTTTTCCCCAGAGCTAAAATTAGGTGCAGCTATGAAAATAAGGGACCCTATGCTTAGCTAGCTGAGACACTTGCGCCTGGCTGTGCTAAGACCTAACCCAGTTTGTATGCCTCCTAATACTCAGATAACGGTGTGGGAAGCGGGACGCTGCTTTCCCTCCAGGGGAACGAAGGGAGCGAGACGTCGTCCCCCTCAGGGTGAACAAGATGGCGCTGACAGGGAAAGGAACTGCTGAAGAAGTAAACAACAAAATGGCGACGAGGGGCATGCCTCCCATGTGATCCCGTAGCTGATTGGACAGAAGGCGCATGCCTTTCACATGATCAGCTCACTGATTGGATGGAGGACACATGCCTTTCACATGATCAGCTCACGGATTGGATGGAGGACACATGCCTTTCACATGATCAGCTCACTGATTGGATGGAGGATGCATGCCTTTCACATGATCAGCTCACGGATTGGTTGCTGCGGGTATATAAACCGTGTGGCTCTGTGCTGGGGGCGCTCTCTGGACTCCGAGTTCAGGAGGCCCGTCTGCGCAGATGCTGAATAAATCCTCTTGCTTTTGCATCAGCCGGTCTGGACTCTGAGTCTTTGGGGTGTGCCTCTCGATGTGTTAGCATCCTCACTCAGAGGGTCTAACAAAAATAAACTCCCCTTGCGATAAACTCCCCTAGCAACAGCCAATCAGCAGATAGCAGGGAAATACCTAAAGTTCCAGGTGTCTTCTCAGGCAGTTAAGGTGATTGATAACATCCCGAAACCCTGCAGTTTGGCACCTACACCCTAGCAGCTCAGACTCTATACTTTGGCCAATCATTTTAAAAAGCATCAACCCCAAAGCCATCCAACCCCCTTTACTAGGTCCGTTCCCGCCACTGAATGCACTAATCAATTTTAAGAGATGTTCTTTGAATTTCCCGTGGAATGAGATGATGTGCTGCATGGTGCTATAATGTATGGACTGTCTCTGAAAACCCTATAAAACCCTGTTACCTGAAGAGTCGAGGTTCTCAATTCAGATCCATGCTGGAGCTTGCAATAAAACTCTTCTGTGTTTTACAGCAGTATCAGCTCCCTTGGTGGTCTTTAGGGACAATCGAACTGGGCATAACAATGGCATGTACAAAAGGTGTCCCAGAATGAGGGGATTACAAAGACACAGATAAAGGAAGTAATATGAATTCTAAGCAAGCTTAGCCCAAAGAAAACACTTGTAACATGATATTAAACTTGAAGCACCTGGCACATTTGGTTAAAACTGATGAAAACTACAAAGAGAACAGGTAGTGGACAAAATGAAAACTCTGTTCAAAAGAGAGTGAATAACAGCTCTGACATTTGAATACAAAAGAAATCAAGAGGTAAGAGAATTGTTGTTAGAAAACTGGTGAGATGAGTCCTGGTTGGTATCTGCGTGTTGATGACAATTTATGAGACCAGACACAATGGTGAGAAGAGAAGAGGCAAACAGAGGGGCTGGTGGAGAGGGAGAGACCAAGCCACTGGGGTCTCACAGTCTGGAGGTATTTGTATGTTTTTAGCATGTCATTTCCAAAGAGCAAACATAGTGGTTACACAATAGCTATTGTGAAAGCAGAGGCAGACTTAATGGAGATTTTTTTTTTTTTGACAGGCAGAGTGGACAGTGAGAGAGAGAGACAGAGAGAGAAAGGTCTTCCTTTGCCGTTGGTTCACCCTCCAATGGCCACCGTGGCCAGCACGCTGCGGCCGGCGCACCGCGCTGATCCGATGGCAGGAGCCAGGTGCTTATCCTGGTCTCCCATGGGGTGCAGGGCCCAAGCACTTGGGCCATCCTCCACTGCACTCCCTGGCCACAGCAGAGAGCTGGCCTGGAAGAGGGGCAACCAGGACAGAATCCGGAGCCCCGACCGGGACTAGAACCCGGTGTGCCAGCGCCGCAAGGCGGAGGATTAGCCTAGTGAGCCACGGCACCGGCCTTAATGGAGATTTTTATAACTTATTTTTGTTAAAGCCTAAGTCTTGTCCATTGGCAAATATTTGTTACAGTGGGCTTTCATTCTATTTTGTTAAGTATGTTATGTGCTAGCAAGGAGCTGTGGCATTGAGTTAGTCTGGCCTGCTTCTTCCTGGGCTCCCTCAGAATGATAGCTTTAAAAGGTGTTGATGGGGCCAGCGCTGCGACATAGCAGGTTAAGCCGCCTCCTGCAGTGCTGGCATCCCATATGGGAACCAGTTCAAACCAGGTGCTCCACTTCTGCTCCAGCTCTCTGCTATGGCCTGGGAAAGCAGTAGAAGATGGCCCAAGTCCTTGGGCCCCTGCACTCGCATAGGAGACCCAGAAGAAGCTCCTGGCTCCTGGCTTTGGATCTGTGCAGCTCCAGCCATTGCAGGTAACTGGAGAGTGAACTAGCAGTTGCAAGACCTTTCTCTCTCTGTGTGTAACTCTGACTTTCAAATAAATAAATAAATCTTAAAAAAAAATGAGTGTGGCTTTGTCTCAATAAAATTTTATCTACAAAAACAGGCAGTGGGCCAGATTTGGTCCACAGTACACTGAGCCCTGGCTTAAACCTCGGTTCTAAAGATCCATTTTTATGCTTTCTTTTAGACATTTTATAGTTATAGCACTTATATTTAGATATTGATCAATTTTGAGTTAATTTTTGTATATGATGTGGTTAGAGTTGATTTTCTGCAGGGCAATAAGGCTCACAAAATGTTACCCTCCCCCACTTCCTCCTGCCAGAGGCACCCCCACCCCCACCCTCACTCTGGTGTGAGATCTGCTCATGACCTTTCTCAAGCCCCCTTACCAAACAGCTTGCAAAACAGATAAGCAGAAAGCCCCCAGGAGGCCAAGTTTCCTTTACCACTGGAGGCAAGTTGCAACCATCTAAAAGCCCGACCCTGCATGCAAGAACAGACTGTGGCCCCTCTTGCTTCAATAGAGCAACCTGTCTCTGGTGAGGTTGGTCTCCATCTCCTTTCTCTGTCTTCTTCCTGGGGGCTAAGAAAAACTTGAATGTAGAGGTGTTCCAAACCTTCCAGTTTCATTTTTTGCTCATATTTTCCCCCCACTTTCAGTATTGCTTGTTGAAGACGCTTCTTTCCCACTTTGAGTTACTTTGGCACCTTTATCTAAAAGAAATTGACAATAGATGGATCTATTTCAGATTTCTTATTTGTTTCTGTTGACCTATATATTTATCCTTATGCAATATCAAATATTGTTTTGATTACTATGGCTTTTTAGTGGATATGCAGATCAGAGAGTATAAATATTCCAAATTTTTCTTTTTCAAAATTGCTTTACTTCTTCTTTTTTTTTTTTTTTTTTTTTTTGACAGGCAGAGTGGACAGTGAGAGAGAGAGACAGGGAGAAAGGTCTTCCTTTGCTGTTGGTTCACCCTCCAATGGCCACTGCGCCCGTTGCGCTGCAGCCAGCGCTGCACTGATCTGAAGCCAGGGGCCAGGTGCTTCTCCTGGTCTCCCATGGGGTGCAGGGCCCAAGCACTTGGGCCATCCTCCACTGCACTCCCAGGCCACAGCAGAGAGCTGGCCTGGAAGAGGGGCAACCGGGACAGAATCCGGCGCCCCGACCGGGACTAGAACCTGTGTGCCGGCACCGCAGGCGGAGGATTAGCCTATTGAGCTGTGGCGCCGGCCAAAATTGTTTTACTTCTTTTTTGTCCTTCCCATTTCCATATAAATTACAGAACTCATTTATTATTGTATATTTCAAAAAGAGTTATGATTTTGATATTCACTGTATCAGAGTTAAAGACAAATATGACAATTTACATGTTAACAAAACTGAGCCTTCTAATCCACAAGTAGTTAGTGCTCTGACATGTACAGTCTTATTTTCATGTAGAATTATGCAAATTTTTTAAAAGATTTATTTATTTATTTGAAAGGTAGAGTTACAGAGAGGCAGAGGAAGAGAGAGAGGTCTCCCATCCACTGGTTCATTCTCCCAGTGGTGGCAATGGCTGGAGCTACGTTGATCTGAAGCCAAGAGCCAGGAGCTTCTTCCAGGTCTCCCACACAGGTGCAGGGGCCCAAGGACTTGCGCCATCTTCTGCTTTCCCAGGGCATAGCAGAGAGCTGGATCAGAAGTGGAGCAGCAGGGACTTGAACTGGCACCCATATGGGATGCCGGCACTGCAGGCAGCAGCTTTACCTGATCTGCCACAGTGCTGGCCCCCTGTAAAATTTTTGTTAAATTTTTTCATAGTAATCTTCTTGGGTTCCAGTATTATCATTTTTTTTTACTTTTTTGCTTCAAAAATATTATGTCAAAAATATTTAGCTGGACCAAAAAAAGATAATCATTTTGGTCATGCAACAACAATCTGAATGATCCAGAAATAAGTCACTGTACTTTAAAAAGAGTGGATAAAAAAAATGTTAAAAAGAGTGGATAATTGTGTCTCTTTTTATGGTTAAAAATAGGAGATTTGATACAAAATAGAAATTATTTAATGTTGTGTCATTGAAAACGTAATTTTTTTTGACAGGCAGAGTTAGACAGTGAGAGAGAGAGACAGAGAGAAAGGTCTTGCTTCCATTGGTTCACCCCCCAAATGTCCGCTACTGCTGGCGTGCTGCGCTGATCTGAAGCCAGGAGCCAGGTGCTTCCTCCTGGTCTCCTATGCAGGTGCAGGTCCCAAGCACCTGGGCCATCCTCCACTGCCCTCCCGGGCCACAGCAGAGAGCTGGACTGGAAGAGGAACAACCGGGGCAGAATCCAGCGCCCCAACCAGGACTAGAACCTGGGGTGCTGCCGCCGCAGGCGGAGGATTAGCCTAGTGAGCTGCAGCATCAGCCGACAATGTAAGTTTTAAAAGGTAAGTGAAAACAGGAGAATGGGAAACTATTCATCTATATCACAAAAGCACTATAAATCCAAATAACTCAGTTTTACACACTGTGAACTCATAATCTATTTTCTCTTTGGAAAGCAAAATAAATATATGAACTTCCTAGCCTTCCTCATTGAAAAAGCCAACAACAATGACCAATCTAATGTCAGTGTTTCTCCCTTAGTGTTCCCACTTCAAGAAAACGAAGATTCTAGAGAAGTAGTTGATTCCAAGGGTTGGTGCTGTGGTGCAGTGGGTTAAAGCCCTGGCCTGAAGCACCAGCATCCCATATGGACACCGGTTCTAGTCCCGGCTGCTCCTCTTCCGATCCAGCTCTCTGCTATGGCCTGGGAAGGCAATGGAGGATGGCCCAAGTCCCTGGGCCTCTGCACCCACATGGGAGACCGGAAGAAGCTCTTGGCTCCTGGATTTGGATCAGCCTAGCTCCAGCCGTTGGGGCCATCTGGGGAGTGAACCAGTGAATGGAAGACCTCTCTCTGTCTCGACCTCTCTCTGTAACTTTGTCTTTCAAATAAAATAATATATAAAAGAAGTTGATTCCAGATTTGAGCTAGAAAGTAAAAATTAACCTGGAAAATCCCACACTGAAGAGAACAGGAAGTGTCACCCTTTAAATAGAGTATCCTAGAATTTGTAGGTATTTTTTAAACCATCACAATTAAATTATTTCAATTTTTAAAAAAGTACTAAATTGTATATATCCTTATAAAATTCAAATATGGAAACATTCTATACAGTAAAAATTGAAATGCCTTTATTATTAAACATAACTATACCCTCACTCCAACCCTCTTATCATGACTTTATCTGCACACACACACACACACACACACACACTTCCATTTTGTTGGTGTAATTTAGCCAACTCCCAACTGAAAGGCATAGTGTGGGGAACCGCAGGCTGGCCACCTGTGGGAACTTCCTCACTTTGCTGTTTGCATGGCCTGTTGTAACAGCTTGTGCAAAACAAGTTAAGGAAGTGCTGGCCGCTGAGAAAAACAAGTCAAGGAAGTGCTAACCACAGGATGTCCTGAAGACACACAAACAACCCCGATGGAGCAAGATGAACTTCGACTTGATTGGACTGTGCCTGCATGGACTGCATGTGAACAGACTTGCCATTGGCTGGGAGCGTCCTGCTAGGGGAACCTTGGGTATATAAGGGGGATAGTATTGTGCAGAGAGAGGGGCTTGGCTTCTTTTCTTTCACCTTGCATCTGGACGAATAAAGTTCCATGAGAACCGAGCAAGCAGCGATCGTGTCTTTACTACGCTGGGCGTCCAGCAGCATACATGATACATTTCTCCCTGTTTTCTATTATAAACGTTGTTGCAGTGAAATATCTTCATCTTGTTCTTCTAGGTCTATAAATTAAACACCTAAGAGAGAAAAATATACAGCATTAAAGGGTGTGTGTATTCTAAAATGTGATGGTGATTGCCAAATGGTGGGTTTAGTGGAAATTGCCATGAAAAGGAAGTTGTCCAAGGAAGAGAGGACAGGTGTTTATCAATTACAGAGCTTGTAGGTAGCTGAAAATAGACTAAAAGTCGCTCATGGGAGACCGGGAACAGACCCACAGCCAGGCTTTGATGGCATTGATAGGTACTCGGCGGGCCAAAGTACTCAGGACAACCAAGGCTGATTACGAGCAACACATAGGCAAAGTCTTGCTGCATACAGAATGGGTTGCGCCTCAAGATGCAACAGCCCCACGAGGCTGCGGAAAGGGGATGGGAAAGGGAGGGACACAGTTTTACTTCACAGAGGAAGGGCCACAAGACGTGGAGGATGGGCTTCCGTTGTATGAGCTCAAGCTAACAATGAACTGTGTCTTGTGGGTCTTGTGTTTGCAGATATTGTGAGACCCCCCGCAAAAAGCCCCCTAGACAATGCAGGTCCTGGGAATTAAGGAAGTAAACTGGTTCTCAGAGGAGCGGTTAAATATTACTTGGAGATATGGGCACCAGAACATCCTGTTATGTACATGGGTCCCCTCCCCCGTGCTTGCTCAAGCTGAACAAAGAAAACCGCAAGGCACGTACGGCATGTAGCAGCCCGCTTCTCTTCCTCAAGCGACCCCCCCCTCCCCCGGCATGCCCTTTCGACCTAGTACTTTTCCACTGACTATGCTTCCCTACCCGCTCCCAAACTGCCATATTAGGTCAATTGCTGAAAATTATCCAATGAGCTGTGTACACCAAGTAGAATGTTAATCTATGATAATTTTGTGGCTTTTCGCTTTAAATACTGCGTGTAATCGGGGCTCGGGGCTCCTCTCTTTCTCGCTGCTTGCGGCAGCAGAGGGCCCATTTGCGCAAATGGAATAAAAACTGCCTCTTGCTTTTTGCATCGCCTGGTCTGGAGTCTGTGTTTCTGGGGTCATCACAAAAGGGCACCACTTTTGGGGGTCCTTCAATATCAGCCACAGAAAAAACTGTACCAGCCAGGGCCAAGGTTCTCAGGGGTAGGATACAGACAAAGCAAGATGTTTTTTTCCAAGAAGTCTCCGAGATAGCCAGATATGAGGAGTTCCTGTTAGAGGTTTCACAGGTACCTTAGCTACATACATGTTGTTTTGAAGAGGCCCTCTGTTCCCTAGCAGACAAGAACACGGGATAGAAAAGCCATCGGGATTCTGTCTCTCATCTTCTCTATAGTCCGGTTTTCTCTACTTCTCCATCCACACAGTAGAGGATGACCCTACCAGAGCTTCTGCATTTACATTCCTGTCCAAGAGACCCACCTACTTGGAACCCTGGATTCAACAAGGAGACTCCTTGCCAGCAGAAGGCTCTGCCCCACAAACCTAGGACCTCCCAGGACCAGGACTAACCTCCATGTGTCATCAAACCCCAAGGTTGAGGGTAAATTCTTTCCAGAGAAAAGGTAATGTGGCAGGGACCCCTCCCCTAAGGTAGAAAACACTGGCTAAATGCAAAAGCCTTAGAGGAGTTCTGGGAACAGGGAGTGGAAGGGGCTTTCTGAGAAATAGCTCAAGAGAACTAGGTCAACTGCGGGGATTCTAATGTATGCAGGTGTAAGCGTTGCTATAGCTCTAACTATCCAGTCAAGACGTATGCAATCAAATGTGTATTAGGAAAGTTACCGTTGTTTGTGCCAGTGTATGTAAGACAATGCCCTGCTTTGCCCAGGGCCCAGGATCTGGAGACAGACTCCTCTGAGCCTGCCTGCTTTCCTGTTAAGAGCCTTGGTGTCCCGCCTCTCTGTCCGAGTATCCCACTGCAGTATCCTGTGACCCCTGGAGCTCCATATCACTGGTGTTCATCAAATTTACTGCTGTATGTGGGCAAGTTTGAATCCCAGCTGTCTTTTTAAAGATTAATGTGTTTATATGAAAGTCAAGAGTGATCGATAGGAGAAAGAGATCATCTATTAACTGGTTTACTCCCCAGATAGCAGAAATGGCTAGCGCTGGGCCAGGCAGGAGCCAGGAGCCAGGAGCCAGAGGCCAGGAGCTTCTTCCAGGTTTCCCATGTGAGTGGCAGGGGCTCAAACACTTGGACCATCTTCTGCTGCTTTTCCCACCCATTAGCAGGGTGCTGGACTGGAAGGGGAGCAGCCTGGATCCAAACCTGCACCCATATGGGATGCGGGCCTCACAGGCGGTGGCTCTACCTGCTATGCCACAATGCCAGCCTCAGCTTCTCCACTTCCAATCCAGCTCCCTGCTGATGTACCTGGGAAAACAGCAGAAGAGGACCCAAATACTTGACGCCCTGCTGCTGATACGAAAGCTCCTGCTTCGGCCAGGGCGAGCCCTGGAACTTCTCTGTGTCTGTCTCTCTCTCTCCAACTCTGCCTTCCAAATAAATCACAAAGATCTGCCATCTGCTGGTTCAGCTCTCTGCTGTGGCCTGGGAAAAGCAGCAGATGATGGCCCAAGTGCTTGGGATCCTGCACCACGTGGGAGACCCAGAAGGTTCTGGCTCCTGGCTTTGGATCCGCCTAGCTCCGGCTGTTGCGCCATTTGGGGAGAGAACCAGCAGGTGAGGACCACTCACTGTAACTCAGCCTTTCAAAAAAAAAAAATGTTAAAAAATCCGGAGGGCTTTCTCTCATTTCATAGCAATAATTAAGAGCTTGTGGATTCAGAGAAACTTGAAAATGTGGGATGGAAAAATAAGGATATTGAGGGCTAGCATATTCGGCGGGATGGAAGTTTTGCTAGGGGTGAAAAAAACAACAAAAAAAACCACAAAAACCCGGAGTTCCGACTTCCAGAAGCGAGCGCGGTAGGAAGCCGGGAGGCAGAGGGGCTGACCGCGGGGCCGGGGCTGACCGCGGGGCCCGGGCTGACCGCGGACCCCTGGCCCGAGGCTGCGAGGCGGCCCGGAGCCCCTGCGCCCGGCCAGAGCCGCCCCAGGTCCAGGCACAGCCGGCCCGGGACGCGCAGCCTCAGGGAGGGCGGAAGGGCACCGCGGCGGGCGGCCGAAGGCGCCGGCCAGGCTCGCTGACCGTGCAGGCGGGCGGCGGGGGCCCAGCGCAGCCTGGCCGGGGCCGGGGTCACCTCGGAGTCCCCGCGGGCCTAACCGGGGCCTGCAGCCCGAGGCCGGCGGTTGAGCCGTTAGGCGTTGCTGGCGACGTTGGACGCCAGAACCGTTAGTGACGTAGCCGCTGGCTGCCCAGCTGGCCGGGGCCGGGGCCGGGCTCTGGGACGCTCTCCTGGCCGAGGTGAGAGGATGTCCGAGAGCTTGGGCCCCTGGGCCCGCGGGGGACACCCGGAGGAAGTGCCGGGCTCCTGGCTTGGGATGGGCCCAGCTCTGGCCGTGCGGCCATTTGGGGAGAGAACCAGCGGATGGAAGACGCTTTCTGTCCCCCCCCCCCCCGCCCCCCAGCGACTCTCAAAATTAAGGAAAGATTGGAACAGACCTGCTTTTAAAAATAAGTGTTGGCGCCGCGGCTCACTAGGCTAATCCTCCGCCTTGCGGCACTGGCACCCCGGGTTCTAGTCCCGGTCGGGGCGCTGGATTCTGTCCTGGTTGCCCCTCTTCCAGGCCAGCTCTCTGCTGTGGCCAGGGAGTGCAGTGGAGGATGGTCCAAGTGCTTGGGCCCTGCAGCCCATGCGAGACCAGGAGAAGCACCTGGCTCCTGCCTTCGGATTGGTGCAGCGCTGGCCGTAGCGGCCACTTTGGGGGGTGAAGCAACGGAAGGAAGACCTCTCTCTCTCTCTCTCTGTCTAAACTCTGCCTGTCCAAAAAAAAAAAAAAAATAGGAAGAAATTGTACCGTAGTTAGAAAATGGCATGTTTAAAAACCGATTACTTGGTTTCTAAAACATTATAAAAATGCCGTGTGGAAATGGCTTTTATTGAAGGGGGATTAGAGCCCTCCAGGACCTACGTCCCTATTTGTTCGTTGATTCGAGGCCGTGGAGCCGCCAGCTGGGAGGGAGGCCCCTTCTGTCGGGACAGGTGATACTTAGAAGACATCTCCGTATAGGAACCATTGTTTTCTCTGTGTGGTTTATCCCTGACTGTGAATAGTTGACAAGGCTAAGTCATTTTGGGGACATATGTACTCTTCTTAGATGTTCTGAAGTGCCTGACATATTGTTCAAAGTAGAGGTGGCAAAAACACGTTTCATAAATACCTCTGTGTGGAAGTTCATGGGAAATACTGTTTTGGAGTGGCCATCCCACTCTGAGCAAATGCACGTTGTGTTTGTGCCCTGTTCCAGGGAGAAGACGGGCAGTGGGAAGAGCTCTGTGTCAGGGTGTGTGCTGTTAGCTAAGACTATGTTGCATGCGTTCAGTTTTGTTGTACTGTGTATACTACAGTGCCTACAGGGCACTATACAGTGTGCATTTCCTAGTTTTCAGCATCCATTCTTTCTCAATGAAAAGAGACTACAGGCTAGGACAAAGTATAGTTGTTAAATTTAATATGATTTTTATGCTGTAGATTAAAATTCCTATGCAAGATTATCTCAAAAATTTGAACGTGATAGCTCACGGGGTTGGTGGAGAAGAGAGAGCAAGGGGAAGAATGCTGAGCCAGGATGTTCATTGTGAGAACACACTTAGGTCCTTCCTTTTTTTTTTTTTTTTTGGACAGGTAGAGTTATAGACAGAGAGAGACAGAGAGAAAGGTCTTCCTTCCGTTGGTTCACTCCCCAATTGGCCACCACGGCTGGCGCTTTGCCGATCTGAAGCCAGGAGCCAGGTGCTTCCTCCTGGTCTCCCATGCAGGTGCAGGAGCCCAAGCACTTGGGCCATCCTCCACTGCCTTCCCGGGCCACAGCAGAGAGCTGGACTGGAAGAGGAGCAACCGGGACTAGAACCCGGCGCCCATATGGGATGCCAGCACCACAGGTGGAGGATTAACTAAGTGAGCCATGGCGCCGGGCCCGACACTTAGGTTCTAACTGTTCCTGGTGTACAGTTTATTCAAGACTGCTGTGCATGGAGTGTACAAAGTCCTTTTTGAAGCATCTAGTCCATTTGCATGTTTCCATTTTTTTAAAAGATTTTATTTGAAAGAGTTATACAGAGAGAGAAGGAGAAGCAGAGAGAGGTCTTCCATCTGCCAGTTCACTCCCCAGTTGACCCCAATGGCGAGAGCTGCGCTGATCCAAAGCCAAGAGCCAGGAGCTTCTTCGGGGTCTCCCACATGGCTGCAAGGGCCCAAGGATTTGGGCTAACTTGTACTGCTTTCCCAGGCCATAGCAGAGAGCTGGATCAAAAGTGGAGCAGCAGGGACTCAGACCAGCGCCCACATGGGATGCCGGCACTGCTGGTGGTGGCCTCACCCGCTATGCCATGGTGCTGGCCCCTGCATGTTTCAAAACGACCAAAATATAGTTTAAAGTACAAGTAGTGAGTGAGCACTCTATAAACATAATTTTACTGAAATAGTAGGAATGGAATTGTTAAACTACTTCTGTGAACAGGATATGACTGACTGTTCTTCAGTTGTTGGGAGAAGTTAGGAAGGAAGAAAATGTGAAAGCTAATATGCTGGTGTGTTTGTTAGGTAATTTCAGACACAACCAGTTTTTTTGTGTGTGTAGCTTGCTTGGCTGTGTATATGTAATATACACAAATGAGTCCTCATTTTGCAACTTGCAGTCTCAAGGCAGTACGGAGGTTGCCAGTGTATGACAGAGTTAGTAAAATTAGCAGATTTTGTGCATTTCATGTTGCAATTCGTAGAAAGGCCTATTTCTGCTTTTGGAAATGAACTTGTTCAAACATCTCCGATCATTACGCATACCTGTACTTGCCAAGTGGATTTGGTGGAGAGAAGGAAGGAAGGAGGGAATGGTTCAAGGCCAAAGTGATCATATTTAGAATATACTTCAGATTATGACTATTTCTGTGTGTGTACAGTTTTATTTAACAGTACTGCATACAGAGTATTCAGATATATTTGTATTTAAAATACCTGGTCTTTGTGGATGTTTCAAAGTGTTTGAAAATAGATGGGATTATTCTGATTCCACTTACATGAGTTACTTAGAAAATTAAATAGAGCAAGAAAGTAGAATGTTGATTACCAGGGATGAGAGTAGGGGAAGGTGGGTGGTATTGGGGAAAGGGGGGTGGTTAATTGTTCATAAGTGCAGAGGTTCTGTTTGGGATGATTAAAAGGTCTAGAGATGTGATGATTGTACAACAATGTGAATATACTAAACTAAATTTTATTAGAATAAAGATCTTTCTTAATTGATAGGAAATATTGTCTTTGCAAGTGGAGTTTTTAAACTCCTGAGTGAACAGTACACTCATTTTTGGGGTTGAGGAGTGTTGCAAAGAAATTGTGAAATACATTTTGCTACTGTCCTAGAAGATTTTGGGTTCACACATTTCCGTATGTTATGTGCGTTTAACTTTGTTGTGCTGTATATAAAGGCAGGGGTACGTTCTCAAGGACGTGGGAACCATCTCACTGAAAAGTAGCCACCATGGGAGATGATGCCCTTGTCTCCTGCTTTATGTAGGAGTGTAACTTCAGCGGATGCTTTGCTCTGAGTCACAAAACTACCTCTTATCATTAAGATAAGAGAAATGTATTTTTCCTTTAGATAAAGCCAACTAGCAAACACAGAAGACCGCCCAATTTAACAAGTGAATTTAGGATAGGTTGTGTGGTGCATGGTGCTGTTAAGCTCTTGTTTGGGGATGGGATGGCTATTTATCTTGAGAATGTGAATGTCATAGATGGCATTTACTTGGTGTGTGTTTTGTAAAAACCCAGTATATACTAAGAACTGGCTGCCAAAGCTGGAAAGTGCCTAGAGACCAATGAAAGAGGCAGACGAACCCATCATTGTACAGAGTATAATGTTTTTAGAGACTGAACAGAAGTCTGAGATGAGAGGATCCCCTGAGAAACGGATCACCGGGATGAGGGTTTATCCGCCAAGCTAGGCAGAGGTGGTCTCTGGCTAAAGTGAATGTACCTGGACTTTCTCAAGAAATAGTTGCATTTCAAGCATCAGATAAGGGACATTCCGGGTTTCTGTGCCCTACATGAAACGCCAGGCAGGTTGTCCTGATGACTTTATTTCATAGGGTTGGGGTGACTGTCAGGGTCACCAGTGGGCAAGGTGGCAGATAAGACCACGATGGCAGCAGTCCTGCCAAGCTGCATCCCTGCAGACTGAGCTGCCAGGATGAGAAGGTGAGATTGCTTTTTTTTTTAAGTTTTAATTTACTTATTTGAGATGGAGAGAGAGACAGAGAGAACAAGAGCGAGTGCACTTGCACCTGCTGGCCCACTCCCCAGATGCTTGCCAAGGCTGAGGCTGAGCTGACATGAAGATAGGAGTCAGAAATGCAGTCCAGGTCTCCCACGTGGATGGGAGGGACCCAGGTAGCTGAGCCAGCACTGCTTCTTTGTGGGGCAGGAGCTAGGAATAGAGACCAGCCAGTGCGATGTGGGGCGCAGGTATCCTAAGCAGCATCGCAAGCGCTGGGTTAAATACCTGCTCCAGAACGTGGGATTTCTTTCCATCTTTGCAGTCTCCCAGTGGAGTGCCGCTGATATGCCTCATATTCTGGTTTAATGGTTATCTGATAATAAAACTTCACTTTCTCTGTTTTACGGAGAGGATTTCTGTATTGGATGAAGAATTTGTTTTGATTTTCAAGGTTTGTTTATGTATTTGAAGGGCAGGGGGACAGAGGACAGAGATCTTCCATTCACTGATTCACTCCCCAAATGACCACAACAGCTGCAACTGGACCAAGCTGAAACCAGGAGTATAGAACTCCATCTGGGTCTCCCACATGGGTGCAGTGGTTCAAGCACTTGGGTAATCCTCTGCTGCTTTCCCAGGCACATCAGCAGGGAGCTGGATTGGAAATGGAGCAGCTGGGACAAAACCCAGCGCCTGTAAGAGATGCCACAGTCATAGGCAGTGACTTTACCCACTACCCCTAACACCAGCCCCAGGCTGGAAATTTAAATAAGGACTTAAGTTTGCTGCAGTATATATTGTAGTACTGACTGTCTGAAAGTAACTTCAAATTAGAACAGTCTGATCTGTAAGTCTTCGTTTCTCCCAATTCCTAAACCAACCCATGGATAGGGTAAGATGTGTGGGAGCCCCAGACGAAACTCGTGATTTCAGCCTGGCCCAGCTGTGACCATTGTAGCCATTTGGAATTTCATGTATAACTTACTATCAAAAAGAGATGTATCCATAAAAATCGTTGCAAATGGATGTTCTTGGAAGAGATATTTTGAAAACCATTCTAGTATCCCAACTCAGATTGGATAAATTGATAATGAAAGATTTAAGGATATGCCATCTCAAAATATGCTCAGTTGGAATATTGATGATTCCGAACTGACATCACTTGAGGAGCTATAACTTCAGAAAAGGCCACTTAGGAGATAAGTAATTGGTCTAATGGTTAAGGTGTCAGATGGGACATCTCTATCCCATATTGAGTGCCTTGATCTGATACCCAGCTCTGGCTCCTGATTCCAGCTCTCTGCTAATGCAGACCTTGGGAGGCAACAGCAATGGCTTAAGTAGTTGAGTTCTTCTCACCCATGTAGAAGACCAGGATGGAGTTATCTCTCCCAGATTTGGCTTGGGCTTCATGGACATTTGGGAGTGAACCAGTGTAGGCAGCCTATGGACAAGTCAAGGCCAATCTTGGCTTGTGGAATTCCTGGGATAAGAAAGGCACGTACTCCCGTGTTGAAGGAGGATGGTAATCAAGAACACTCTGTTACAATTATCTGCGTCACAGGAGGTCCGAGAAGTTGCTTGCATATGTTGTTATCTTTTGTGTTTCCTTGAGCTGCAACTGGTTATGTCTAAATATCGCTGAGACACTGGAATAAAAGAGTCTTGATCAGTTCATTGTCTTGGCTCCCTTCTCTGCGTCCTTGTCCCTCTTTTC